AACAGAAGGAAAACAATGCCCACATGGGTAGCCCAGGAAACTTAAACCTCAAGATTCCCATGTGAATCCCCGAGCCTGAAGATTCCCAGCGGCTCAGCTTCTCCCAGGTGTTTCCAGAATGTTTCTCTTTCCCCTGTCATGGTTTTTGCTGCTTGTGATACAGATTTTTCCCTCGGGGAAACCCTGACACAAGACTTTTCCCTCAGGAAAACCAAGCCTTGACCTGGATGATTCAAAAAAGGAGTCTTTATGCCTCCACGTTCCCCACAAAACCTCCAAGCATTAAAAAAGGTTCTAAATAGCAGCAAAGACACCTAATTTGAAGAGTTTTAGCACAGGTTCTTTCCGAAAGAAAGTCCCTGGGGTCTCCCGAGGCTCTGGAAAATTCCCTTTGGGTGAGTCCTTCCCACCTTCCCGCAGCAATTCCGGATGCTGATGGCCAGTCCTGCCGCGTGCTACAAGCTTTTCCGGGAGAAGCAGAAGGAAGGCCAGGGAGAAGCCACCATGTTCAAAGGCAAGGGGCCAGCGGGTGGCTCTGGGCAGGGTTTGGTGCCAGCTGAGCCAGAGTAGCCGGACAGAGGGACAGGAGGGAATCGGGATCACACGGGGACATTTTCCCACCCCATTGTCCTTCACAGCTGGCAAACGGGATGCCCACCCACCACCCCCAGCCTCCTCAAGGCCTATTTTGGGAAGCGAGTGGGATGGCAGGGATAAAGCCCTCTGCGTGGAGGGAATGCTTGCTTGGAGGGATGGAGCATCTCCAAATGCCAGCGGAGCTCCAGCACGGAGTGGGACAACTGGCGGCTCTCACGTTACCCAAATTAGCACCGTTTTGTCGCTTTGGGAATCCTTTCTCTGGGATTTTGATCCGTGGTGGGGTTGGGAGCACGTCTCCATATCTCCACGGGTCCCTTTAGGTCACCCAGGCAGGGGGTGGATCCAAATCCTGAGGGTGGATGCTCTGGAGAAATTCAGCAGATAATGATTCCTGTGGGCAGGAAGATGGATGACAAGACCTTTCCAGTGCTCTTTCCAATGGGCAGACCTTTCCTTCCCTCAGTTTCCCAAAAACTAAGAATTGTGACTCCAACAGCCTTATTCCAAGCTCAGGAAATTGGGATATGGGGGACTTTATCCTCCTCTGTAGCCCCTCCTAGGTCAGGCTTCATTTTGATGGGACGTTGCATTTTCAGGGTACTCGGGGACAGACACAAAACGAGTCACCATTAACAAGGTCCTTTCCAATGACAACCTGGCGCAGCAGAACCAGTATGTCCAGGTAATAACTGACATTTTTGGCAATAATTCATGTTTCTTGCAAAAACTGCCCCAGGGTGGTGCCAAACCCGCAAGGGAGGTGTTGAATTTTGGCTCTTCTCCTGCGTGAGATGGTTTTGGGCACTGTGCCCACATGTGTCCCCCCTCAACCCGCCCTTCTCCACCCCCTCCAGCGCTGCATCGACTGGAACAGGGATATCCTCAAGAAGGAGCTGGGATTGATGGAGGAGGACATCATTGACCTGCCGGCCCTCTTCAAGCTCGACAAGCAGGGCAAAGCTGTGCCCTATTTCCCCAACACGGTGAGGGGATCCCCACTCCTCAGGTCCTCTCCAGAAATTAGCTTAGTCAGCCAGCAGGAGCCCCCAGAGTTGTCCCCAAAGAAATCAGCTGTCTAGAGAAAGGAAATATCTCCACCCAACAGGTCTAACATAACCTTGTGGCTTTGTGTTGCTTGCAGCGGGGTTTTAGGCAAAACCCCTCTCCAAGCGGTGCAGTTGGAATTGTGAGGTGGGTTTTAACGATAAAAAAGGGGAAATCATGTTGGATTTGGAATTGTGTGGGAGGGCGGCTGCAAAAATTGGAGTTGATGGGCTGAGGGCTGAGGCTGATGGAGGAGGGTGAGCAACACCTTTCCCTGGGCATCATCAACCCCGACGCCACTGATGTCCCCTGGTGCCACCCCGCAGGTCACCATGATCGTCCTGGCCAAGGAGTTGGGCATCCCCAAACCCTTTGGCCCCGTGACGGCGGGGGAATGCTGCCTGGAGCGGCGGATCCGCTCCCTCCTGGAGCCGCTGGGGCTGAGCTGCCGCTTCCTGGAGGAGGTGGCCTCCTACCACGGCAGCCTTGGCGAGGTCCGCTGTGGCACCAACGTCCAGCGGCGAGCCTTCGCCTTCAAATGGTGGCACTTCACGCCATAGCGAGACCCCCTTCTCCTCTTCCTCCTCCTCCTTTTCCCTCCTCCCTCCTCCCCAGTGGTTTTTTCAGTGTGTACTGCTTGTTGTTCACTTAATAAATATATTTGCTGTGAGGAGAAAGGCGTGAAAATGAATAATAATGTGCAGTAATTATGTGAGAAAGGGAGAGGAGCCTTCAGCGGGGTGAGGGGGCAATTTTTTTGGATGGGTAGAATTTTTTGGAAGGTGGTAGAATCACCGTCCCTGGAGGTGTTCAAGGAGCAACCATGTTCAAAAATCGTGAAATAAACCCTCTAACCAGTTTGTTGGATTAGAAAGTCAAGATTAATCAACACTGAGGTACATGGGGATCACCCCACAAAACATACAGTGGTTATCAAAACTTTTAACTATTTATTCATTTTAACAAATGAAGAAATTGGTTTACAAGTTACATAGTTCTCTTAATTAATCAGTACTCTATCTTCTATTGGTTGTTGTTCTTGCTTCTCATCCTAATTTCTTGCTTCTCATCCCAATTTGTCCACATTTTCTGTCTTTTTATTATCTTTTTCACAAATAGGGAGAGTCTCAGTAACGGTCTTCGGTAGTTTCCTCTTCATCTCTGGTTTCTGTGTCTTTGTGCTTTACAAATCCTGCATTCCTGGTGTTCAGGTCTCAACAATAAACTTCTCTACTAAGCTTTGCTAACCTTCCTCCCCCAGGTCTGAGAGCATTAAAGTACCTCAAGGCCCAAATTTTAATATGTTTCTCTAACATATGGACATCACCCATAGCTTGCCTGTCATCCCCTATCCATTCCATAGATTAAATCTGTCAGCATTTCCCCCCCGCTGCTGCATAAACTCCTTTTTAAAAAAGAACTTGTTTGGTGACAATACTGAGACCTTTGCCTCTTCCTCTTGCGCTCCTTCCCCCTCCTCCTCCTTGTTCTTTTGTCCTCTACCTTTGCCCCCAGCAGCTTTTTCAGCATTTGTTGCTCACAATTCACTTAATAAACTTGCTGTGAGGAAAAAAGTCGTGAAATTAAATAATAACGGGTAACAATCGCGAGAGAAAGGGAGGGAAGCCCTCAGAGGAGGGGGGGGTCATTGTTTTGCAAGGGGCTGCAGAGGGAAGTGGTGGAATCACGGTCCCTGAAGGTGTTTAAGGAAAGGATGGGACACTTATTGCCGTGGTCTGGATGACAAGGTGGGGATCGGTTGCGGGTTGGACTCGATGATCTGCGAGGGCTTTTCCAATCCCAATAAGAGAACCCAATGGTTCGGTCACTCTTTAAACCCCCGCACCCGCCGTTCTGCCCCGCTTGG